GGAGGCCTACTTATATCTTGCTTTCCTTCACTGTTTTGCAGCTTTGAACTACAGTAAACTGTTCAAGCCAACGCCACCTATCGAAAAAATTAACGCGATAGTAGCGGTTGCGCCAACGCAAACAGTTCATTTCAACCATGTCACAAAATTTTTCTATTTAATTGTCACTTTATACATACCACTAAGCTCTTAAAATCGAGGTAAAATGTTTATAATCTGACTGCCATTTGTGTTATCCAGTTCATTTATCGATATATTTTGCTTATTTTTGTTTTTGTTCCCAAGCCTTTTTCAAATCTATGTAATTTGACTAGTTGGCTTTCTCTGATCTTGGATGAAAATAGAGCAAGCTCTATCTGCACATTCGTTGTTTTCATTTCAAATGCACTTTCCTAAATCTTTATTTACCATTTTGAAATAACTTTCTTAGTCATTACTACGTAGATTTACAATTTCAATAGTTAACTCTGTAAAGCCCACGCCAAACCATGTTTTCATCGATTGAGATGTTTTTCCCAGGTTGAAATATAAAAAACTTACCTTCAGTTATTGGATTTCGGTGTCGTCCTGTAAGCAGTAAAAATAAAACATTTTTCTAACTGATGGGGATTCAATTTCAGGCATTTTTAATAATGTATCCTATTTGAAATTGCAATCAAGATCCAACTGAGGTAATTTTCACGTAAATATCCCATTCTTGGGTTCGCAAGAGGGAAGTTCATGAAGGTCAAACGACTTCTTAGATCCTCTGGATTCAACAGATTTTGCACAACCGGGTACCAACGTTTTAGTATTTTTTTTCAGCATAATTTTTTGCATTTGCATTAAAAAACAAGCTACGATAGACCGTTTGCCAGTTTTGTTTTGAAAACTTTCCCATAGTTTCTTATGGATGCATTGTTGCCCATCAAATCTTCATCTTTACTTTTATTCTCAATGCGCTCACTATCTTTTCGCACAGTGAGCCATACACACGCGTTTTTAACATTTGAGAGAGATTCCGGTACATAACCTTGTCTAGGATCAACTTTATTATCACCGAAGCTGAGCCTGTAAGCTCAGGCGAGTTGGAGTCACACGTGTTCATTACGCAGGCACTTTCATGTAAATCAAACTCTTCGTTATCTACAACTTTATTGCAAGATGGTTCCTCTTCACAGCCCATAGTTTTATTTTGGACAACTGTTCTCGAACGGGTTTCATCAAAGTCAAAATATTCGTTATGTTTAGGAATTGTTTCGTTGGAAAATTCCTGACAACATTTTTCATTAAAACCATTTCATTAGAGGTAAAACCTCTAGGAACAACGCTAAGTCTACTGGTCGTTTTCCTATATTACCTCAGATAACTATAAATTTCAACGGTAAACAGAGTTATGAGTTGAAACGAGTGAACTTTCATCATCTGATTAATACTCAAATCAAGAGCGACGAAACCAATAGGGAGTTTTACCGAGAGTACAACTACGACTACGAGTACGAAATTAGACCGTGTAAGGGAATGGCACGAGGAAGTTCGTAGTCTTTGTCGGATTGTCAAACTATTATGGCTATTTGCAGTAACGCGCATTTCGATGCAGCTACGCGTTTATATTTAAACGTATTCTTTTAACGATTTTTTCTTTAAATTTCTATTTTGTTCTACTAAATCAATTATTGAAATATTGTAACGTAATATACATTTTTAATAAAAAATAAGAATAAACAAACAGAAATGTAAAAGATTTCTCATTGTGAGTACAACGATAATAGGACCCTATAACAAAACTAAAAAAATAAAAAAATATTGTAGTTTTTACCTCGCTGCAAGCAGGATTTGAACCTCGCTTTGGTCCCTCCCCATTGTGTTTCTAACGTCAGAGGTGACTGAGTATTTGTACATACTCATGGTCATTGTTGAGGAATTGAATCTTCATGTTAAACCAGAATACTCTGTTATTTTTTTACCTGATATTTAAAAACTTTTGCCTAAAGTTTTCAAAATTCATTCGTGTTGTGTTTGTAAAATCAATTAACAAAAATATACACTAAGTATTCATGGATTATGTTTAAGTACTAAAAGCTTAACAACTCAGACATTATACTACCTAACTAAAACATGTATTGAACTTTAATTAATTTTAACCTTTTTCCAGACTTTGTAAATCAGTTCATCTTATTATTTTTGTTCATAAATATTAAAAAAATATAATAATGAATATGAAGGGAAGATTAACATGAATTGTTTTTTGTAATTACGTGGTTTTAAGTTTTTATCAAATAAACAACATAGTCCCCCCTTCCACACTTTCAAAAATCAGATAATGCATACAATTTGATTGAACAATTAAGAAAACTACCAATCTTTCACCAATGCCTAAACCAGGAGTTGAACCTTGGTCCTTCAGATCTTCAGCCTAACGCTCCCAAACTGAGCTATTTCAGCTGATTATATCTCAAATTGACTACAAAATCAATTCAATAAATTAATGGTTGAAATGTTTTCCACTTTACCATATTTTAAAATGAAAAGTTTTATGTCAGTACATACAGCTTAAATTTTTTCAAATATTGATGACGTTTAAATTAAGTTCAAAGTAGTGATCGATCTTTGTCTTGAATATCAAAATAAAATAATTTACTTTAAAACAGTAAAAAAGTACCTTAAACAAATATTAAAAGGAAAATGGAATATTAATCAACAACCATTTCGACAAAGAGGGAATTCGAACCCACGTGTGCACAGCACAATAGATTACATTCCATCAAATTATTCACTCCGTCACTTCGTCTTATTGCATTCTTTTTGTTTTTTACAAATGTTAAACATAAGCAACAATCAATATTACTGGAAAAAAGTGTAAAACAGATCTGTTTCTAATGAAAAGTAAAATTCGCAATTCCTTTCATATTTTTAATATTATTATATTGTAACTATAATATTCAATTCCTTTTTTTCATTAAAATTTCATTTGTTCACATTTAAGTAACAAATTAAAGTTTAGAAATTTTCAACATGACACCTACAATAAAATATCTTTAAATTAGAATTTTGTGAAAAAGTCTACATGTCCAGTTTTGAAATTAGTGTTACCAAAAATGTTTCGTGTTTTCTATGTTTTTAACTTTTAAAGTATTCTTTTAACATTTTTTTTCTTTAAATTTCTATTTTGTTGTACTAAATCAATTATTGAAATATTGTAACGTAATATACATACACAAATTTTAATAAAAAAATACAGAATAACCAAACAGAAATGTAAAAGATTTCTCATTGTGGAGTACAACGATAATAGGACCCTTTAACAAAACTAAATAAAAGTAATAAAAAAAAATATTGTAGCTTTTTTACCTCGCTGCAAGCAGGATTTGAACCTGCGCGGGGAATCCCCATTGGATTTCTAGTCCAACGCCTTAACCACTCGGCCATCACAGCTCATTGTCCAAGGAATTGCTTTTCTTCATGTTAAACCATAATATTCTGTTATTTTTTTACCTGATATTTAAAACTTTTTCCTAAAGTTTTCAAAATTCATTCCTGTTGTGTTTGCAAAATCAATTAACAAAAAAATACACTAAGTATTCCTGGATTATGTTTAAGTACTAAAAGCTTAACAACTCAGACATTATAATACCTAACTAAAACATGTATTGAACTTTAATTAATTTTAACCTTTTTCCAGACTTTGTAAATCAGTTCATCTTATTATTTTTGTTCATAAATATTAAAAAAATATAATAATGAATATGAAGGGAAGATTAACATAAATTGTTTTTGTAATTACGTGGTTTTAAATTTTTATCAAATAAACAACATAGTCGCCCCTAAATTTCTATTTTGTTTTACTAAATCAATTATTGAAATATTGTAACGTAATATACATACACAAATTTCAATAAAAAAATACAGAATAACCAAACATAAATGTAAACGATTTCTCATATTGGAGTACAACGATAATAGGGCCTTTAACAAATCTAAATAAAAGAAATAAAAAAAAATATTGTAAGTCATTTTATCTTCGTTGCAAGCAGGATTTGAACCTGCTCGGAGAATCCATATTGGATTTCTAATCCAACGCCTTAAAGCCTAGTTCTCATTCATCGTAAAACGTCGGCGATAGAGCTTTTGCGACGTCGGCGAGCGCTTACTATTAATGAGAACGCGTTAAAATTTATGTCGCCGATTTTTTGTGACGAACGCCGAGCGTCGGCGCTGGCATCGCAAGAAACAAAACAGTTTGTTTCTTGCGATCATAGCCGATCATTACCGACAACTTTCCATAATCTAGTCCAACATGGCTGCTCTTGAAAAAAGACGAAGAATCAGACTTTGTTGAGTCATGCTCATAAACCACAAAAACATGTTAAGGAAATAGTATGTGCGTAGTTTACTTTATCAATGTATGCGTTCCCACACGGCTAAGAGCCAAGGAACAGTTATTGACGTTAGTTAAATTTCCTTATGTACCATATATAGCTTAAACAGAGGAACTACTCCGACCAATAATAATATTTGTTGTTTGTAATAAAGACTATAAATACTGCTCTGTAAAACAATAAAAATCAGTTCGATCATTAAATTCACTCGTGGTTGTTACTGAAGGTATAGAGTATATTAAGAAATAGATATGGCGAGTAACTCGAACACAACAGACTTCGATAGAAGCTTGCAATTGAATATTGTAATTTCTGTGCAGCTTCAATTGTATTTATTGGCTTTGTTAATAAGGAAAAAGCAAATTTTACTCAGATTAAACAAACCACGAAAGAGAAGGTTTTGGATAAGAGAAATGTTGAAGAAACGCCAGCAGGAAAGTCAATTTCCTATTTTGGTTGAAGAGTTAAAATTGCACGATCGAGAGTATTTTTTCAAGTTTTTAAGAATGAGTCCAGAGAGGCTAGAGCATCTATTAAATCTTGTTGCCCCCTACATTACAAAAAAGAAATGCAACAGCAGAATACCAGTTTCTGCAGGATAAAGACTTGTCGCTAATTTGCGATATTTAGCTACGTGGGATTCCCAACAATCCCAAGCCTTTAATTTCAGATTGGGAAAAAGCACAGTTTGTAATATCATAAAAGAAACATGTAGTGGAATATGGAATTCTTTATGTACCACATACCTGAAGGCTCCAAAGTCTGAGCATGAATGGAAAGAGATCGCAAATGAAATGTTTACTCAGTGGAATTTTCCAAACTGCATAGGTGCATTGGATGGAAAACACATTGCAATTGAATGCCCTGCCAATAGTGGATCTAATTTTTTTAATTACAAAAAGTTTTATAGTATCGTATTGATGGCCATGTGTGATGCTAGGTACTGTTTTACATTGGTGGATATTGGAAATAATGGAAGAGACAATGATGCACAAATTTTCAATAATTCAGCAATGGGCAAAGCTTTGTCAAATAATGAATTAAATGTTCCATCCTGCAGTTCCATTGTTGGCCATACACTGCCTTATGTTGTTGTAGCCGATGAAATCTTTGCACTCAAACCATGGTTAATGAAGCCATATGGTGGTAAAGGATTACCACAAGATAAAGAAATATTTAATTACAGACTTAGTCGTTGCAGACGAACAATAGAAAACAGTTTTGGCATCCTTTCAGCAAGGTGGAGGATTTTTCGCCGCCCAATCAAAGCCAAGCCTGAAACAGTTGACTTGATTATAAAAGCATGCTTATGCCTGCATAATTATTTACAGCTAACATACAATGCCCATTACATCCCAGCTGGTTTTGTAGATGCTGAAGATACTACAGGTAATATCGTACCTGGTAACTGGAGAAGCATTACATCAGGTGATAATGGTGCAATGGAAGCATTCTCAGTTGGAAGGGCAAATAATAGATCTTCCTTTGAAGCTATTGAAGTTAGAGAAAATTCAAGAAATATTTCAAAGCAAAGAGGGATCCTTGTCTTGGCAAGTCACTTATGTTAATAGTTTTTAAAGTTAACTGACATATTGTTTGGAGTATAGTCTAACCATAATCTGCACCACTAATTTCAGGTTTCATATAAATAAAATTATTAAGTTGTTAATAGCCTTGTTATTACAATAGTTGACCACATGGTTTTTATTCACAGATCAGTGATAGTTATTTGTAAAAAGCCAACCTCATTGCAGCATAATTTAGCATAGTTGTGTGTATGCAAATAAGCATTTGAGTTAAAATTTATCCTATCAACATCTTTTTATGCTTGATGGCAAATGAAATTATTTGCTCCAGGACTATTGACTCCAATGTTATCTACAACATTTACACTGCATTGCAAGATTTTAGACATTGTAAAATATATATTTGAAACTAACATGCATTATGAACATTAATTTTAAACTATGTAAACAATAATGAGTTAATGAGTATCTTACTCTACTTGCTAAAAATTGAGTTATCAACAAACTAAACAGTGCAGCAACTTACTTTGTGTGGAAATGATTATTTTAGAGCAACTGGAAGTGCTTATATTTGATTTAATATCTTTGAAAGTTCTACAGTTGTATTTTTGGGAAAATTAGATAAAGTTAGGGCACTGAGTAGTTTCATGGTAATCACACAAAATAATGAAGTTTTATTACTGTAAGCAACAATTTCTTCTGAAACTAAATAAAGTAAATGTCTTATCCATCAAATAACAAACTAAATGATATAAACCTGTTTTGACAATAGCCGATATGAAACTTTTAATTATTCCAATAATTTGCTTGACTATTTGGCACAGAACCAACAAAAGTTGGAAATGAATTCAAGTAATTTGGATTTGAAAAACCTCCATACTCAACTTCCATGAAAGCCTTCTCAATTAAGTTCCTAATTAAAGCCTTCTTTTTTCCATCAAGCCTTCTCAGTCTGGGGGCTAAACTCAAACAGTAAAAGTAGTCTTCATCATTCTCCACATTAGGTTTATCTTTTTGGCTGTTTTCCAAACATTTTAAGGACTTGTCCAACTTTGACATGGCTTCTTTAATTTGTTCATCAGTTTTTTTCAATTGCATTTTGTTATTGATTTTAGCTCCAACCCAGCTCGTACCACTACCATCTCTTTTTTGCCTTTTTATTGGCTGCTTTTGGTGGGTCCCATTTTCTGTGTCTCTTATTTCCTCTGCAACATCACAAATTTGTTCAGTTGCTTCGCCTTGAAAATTGTCATCTACAGATATATCTAATGTTATATAAGTTTCATATTGATCATTTTCTCTATCTGATAACTCTTCAACCAAGTCGGGATCTTCTGCACCAAGTGTAACTATATTTGAGACACTGTCTTTGGTTATGTTTGGTTGACTAAGTGATACATTCAAGTTACTTGTCCCTTGTCTTGAAGTCATATGGATTGTAAGCCATCCAAGATTCTCGAACCTTTGATCAATATTCGGAATATCGCTTACTCCAGACCCAGACTTTAACTTTTGTTTTGAAAGATAACGAGAAAATGCAGTACGAATAGTCTTGTATCTCCTTTCCACTTCTTCTGTTGTAGTTTCAAGCAATTCAGCTATTCGTTGCCAGCAGTTAGCTTTCTTTCGTTTGTCACGAAAACCGTTTGTTCGCTTGTCGTATATCGTGAAATTCACGAATAATTTCCATAAAGCTTCTATCATCGTCCTTTGCTTTAACAGCAAGAACATTTAATGCTTGCACTGAATAGAAGTCTGTTGTGTTCGAGTTACTCGCCATATCTATTTCTTAATATACTCTATACCTTCAGTAACAACCACGAGTGAATTTAATGATCGAACTGATTTTATTGTTTTACAGAGCAGTATTTATAGTCTTTATTACAAACAACAAATATTATTATTGGTCGGAGTAGTTCCTCTGTTTAAGCTATATATGGTACATAAGGAAATTTAACTAACGTCAATAACTGTTCCTTGGCTCTTAGCCGTGTGGGAACGGATACATTGATAAACTAAACTACGCACATACTATTTCCTTAACATGTTTTTGTGGTTTATGAGCATGACTCAACAAAGTCTGATTCTTCGTCTTTTTTCAAGAGCAGCCATGTTGGACTAGGAGCCATTTTTTTTCTCAAAGCAATCACCGACCATCGCCGATGGTGAGCGATGCTTTGCGATTAATGAGAACACAAGGCCATCGACACCGACCATCGGCGATACTAGCGACGTTTTGCGATGAATGAGAACTAGGCTTAACAACCCAGCCATCACAGCTCATTGTACAAGGGATTGTTTTCTTCATATGAAACCATACTGTTCTGTTTTTTAACTTATTTATTAAAAGATTTTATCTTAAAACTTAAAATTCATTGCTCTTGTGTTTGGAAAATCAATAAACAAAAAATTGAAATAAGTATTCATGGATTATGGTTAAGTACTAATAATTTGTAACTTATGGGATGTGTAATGAAAGAAGCAAGTCTTAGTTTAACAACTCAGACATTATACTACATATCTAAAACATGTATTTTATTTTAATTAATTTTTAATTTTTTGTAGACTTTGTAAATCAGTTCATCTTGTTATTTTTCTATATAAACATTACGAAAATTATAATAATGAAAATGAAGAGGAAGATTAAAATAGACTTTGCTTTTCGTAAATATGTGGTTTAAACATTATCAAATAAACAAATTAGTCCCACTTTCACGATTTCAAAATCAGTTAATTTATACAATTTTATCATAGAATTAAAGAAAAAATGCTAGTCTTGCACCAATGCCGAAACAAGGAGTTGAACCAGGAACGTTCAGATCTTCAGTGTGACTCTCCCAAACTGAGCTATTTCGTCTAATTACATCTCAAGATGACTACTAAATCAATTCAAGAATCTAATGTTTAACAATATTTTCCACTTTACTATATTTTGATATGAAAAATTTTATGTCAGTACATACAGCTTAAATTTTTTTAAATATTGATGACCTTTAAATTAAGTTCAAAGTAGTGATCCATCTTAGCTTGAATATCAAAATAAAATAATTTACTTTAAAACAGTAAAAAAGTACCTTCAACAAATATTAAAAAGAAAATGGAATATTAATGAACAACCATTTCGACAAAGATGGGATTCGAACCCACGTGTGCAGTGCTTAATGGATTAGCAGTCCATGACGTTAACCACTCGGTCATTTCCTATTATTGCCATCTTGTTTTTTCAGTAAATGTCAAACAAAAGCAATAATCAATATTACTTAAAAAAAGTGGAAGAAAACTGTTTGCTACTTAAGAATTAATATTTGCATTTTTTCCATAGTTTTAATACTATTGTATTGTAACTATAATATTCAATACATTTTTTTAAGTAAAATTTTATTTGTTCGCATGTAATTAACCAATTAAAGTTTAGAACTAACCAACATGGCATCTACAATGAAATATCTTTAAATTCAAATTTTGTGAAAAAGTCCAGATTCTAGCTTAGAAATTAGTGTTACCAACAATGTTTCGCGCTTTCTATGTTTTTTACATTTAGACTATTATTTCACAACCTTTTTCTTTAATTTTATTTTATTGTAATAAATCACATATTAAAATAATGAAACTCAATATACATACACATATCTGAGAGAAAAAATAAACAATAATCAAACACAAATTTAAAATATTTCTCATTGTCGAGTATAATGATAATAGGGGCCTTTAACAAAACTAAATACCAGTAATAGAAACAAAAAATACTACAAGTTATTTTATCTTGCTGCAAGCAGGATTTGAACCTACGTGTGGAATCCCCATTGGATTTCAAGTCCAACGCCTTAACCACTCGGCCATCACAGCTCATTGTGAAAGAGATTGCTGTTCTTCATGTTAAACCATATTATTCTTGGGGTTTTTTACTTCATTTATTAAAAGTAATTTTCCTTACATTTTTGAATTATCTAATCTTGTGTTTGGAAAATCAGTACTCAAAATAAATAAAATAAGTGTTCATGGATTATAATTACGTACTAAAGATTTGTAATATATGAAATACATGAATAATTAAGCATGTTTTTAGATGTATAACGCAGACATTATACTACATGTCTAAAACATGAATTGAAATTAATTGACTTTTACTCTTTTGCAGAATTTGTAAATCAGTCCATCTTATTATTTTTGTTTATAAATATTAAGAAAATTTCAATAATGAAAATGAGGAGGAAGATTAACATAAGTTGTGTTTTTCACGATTACGTGGTTTAAGCTTTTATCAAATAAAAAACTTATTCCCCCCTTTCACACTTTAAAAATCAGTTGATTTATACAATTTGATCAAAGAAGTAAAGAAGAAATGCGAATCATGAACCGATGCCGAAACCCGTATTTGAACCAGGGACCTTCAGATCTTCAGTCTGACGCTCTCCCCACTGAGCTACTTCAGCTGATTAAATCGCAAATTCACTACAAAATCAATTTAAGAATCTAATGCTTAAAAATATTTTCCACTTTACCATATTTTATAAGGAAAAATTTTATGTCGGTACATACAGCTTAAATTTTTTCAAATATTGATGACGTTTAAATTAAGTTCAAAGTAGTGATCGATCTTTGGCTTGAATATGAAAATAAAATAATTTACTTTAAAACAGTAAAAAAGTACCTAAAACAAATATTAAAAGGAAAATGGAATATTAATCAACAACCACTTCGAAAAAAATGGGATTCAAACCCACGTGTGCACAGCACAATGGATTACTTTCCATCAAACTATTCCCTCCGTCAATTCGTCTTATTACATTCTTTGTGTTTTTTACAAATGTTAAACAAAAGCAACAATCAATATTACTAGAAAAAAGTGTAAAAGAGACCTGTTTCTAATGAAGAAGTAAAATTCGCAATTTCTTTCATATTTTTAATATTATTATATTGTAACTATAATATTCAATTCATTTTTTTCATAAAAATTTCATTTGTTCTCATGTAAGTAACAAATTAAAGTTTAGAAATTGTCAACATGACACCTACAATAAAATATCTTTAAATTAGAATTTTGTGAAAAAGTCTACATGTCCAGTTTTAAAATTAGTGTTACCAAAAATGTTTCGTGTTTTCTATGCTTTTAACTTTAAAGTATTCTTTTAACATTTTTTTCTTTAAATTTCTATTTTGTTCTACTAAATCAATTATTGAAATATTGTAACGTAATATACATACACAAATTTCAATAAAAAAATACAGAATAACCAAACAGAAATGTAAAAGATTTCTCATTGTGGAGTACAACGATAATAGGACCCTATAACAAAACTAAATAAAAGTAATAAAAAAAAATATTGTAAGCTTTTTTACCTCGCTGCAAGCAGGATTTGAACCTGCGCGGGGAATCCCCATTGGATTTCTAGTCCAACGCCTTAACCACTCG